TTAGTGTCTTTAACCTATCTCGATATGGAAGGTTTCTAAGTCCCGGAATCATTTTCGTCATATTTTGCTGCACCGACTCCAGTGAATTGATATCCATTCTCTAATAAGGTGACCAGAACTAAACCGTAAAATCGAGGTGCGGCCTGACTAGCGCAAGTTACAGTTGCAATAAGACCTCTGCAGTCTTATTACTTACACTTCTAGACATAAAACCTAATACTCTGTTTGCTTTATTTCGAACATTAACACACTGTTTTCTAGGCCGTAGGTCCGGGCTTACAGGTACCCTTAAGTCTCTTTCACAAGTCGGACCTGTCTAGGTTGATGTTGTTAAGGCTGTATACATTGACAGTATTTGTTCTTCCAATATTAAGTATGCTGCTCTTGCTGGTGCTGAATTTCATTTGCCATTTTCTGACTACTCGTACAGTTTATTTAAATCCTCCTGTAGTGCATTTGCATCCTGCCCTGAATTAATCTGCCGCCCTATTTTGATGTCATCTGCAAACTTGCTTATGTCACTGCTGATCCCAGTATCTAGATCTTTTATGTAGATTATGAACAAGAGTGGGCCCAGTACTGACCCCTGGGGAACCCTGCTGGTTACACAACCCCACTCAGATTTAACACCATCTACGCTGACCCTCTGTGTTCTATCGGTGAGCCATGATTTTATCTAATTTAGACTTTCCCCTCGATTCCATGAGCCTTAACTTTTCTCAGAAGCCTCTCATGCGGTACTCTGTCAAACGCTTTGCTAGAGTCTATGTAAATAGCATCGTAATTTTCGTCATTATCTACTACCTCGAAGATTTTCCTAAAAAAGGCAGCAGATTTGTTAGACAAGATTTTCCCTTTGTAAACCCATGTTAAGAGTCATGGATTTATTTGCTTTTCTCTAAATGCGATCGCATGCTATTTGCTATAATTGATTCAAGAAATTTTCCCTCTATGGACGTCAAACTAATAGGCCGGTAATTCGACGCTGAAGCTTTGTCACCCTTTTTGAATATGGGTACTATATTTGCCTGTTTTCACAAGTCTGGCACAACTCCCGTGTCTAATGAGTTTGTAAATAAATTTATGAGGGGTCTGCTAATCTGTTCCTTACACTCTTTCAAAACTCGAGGGAAAATTTCATCCGTCCCTGAGGATTTTGTCTTCTTTAATTTATTTATCTTCTTAAGAACATCCTCTTTTCTGATAGTGATATTCTTTAATTTCTCTTCTTCATTTCCCTTACATATCAGTTCCACCCCTGGAATTTCCTTGTGAATTTCTTCTGTGGAAACTGATAAAAAGAAGCTGTTTAATGCTTTGCTTATTTACTCACTGTCAGCGATCACTTCCCCCCTCCCTTCCTAACTATAAAGGCCCAACTTTGTCCTTGACCTTTGTCCTATATACCTGGAAATATCCCTTGGGATTCGTCTTGGATTCTCTTGCTATCCTGATTTTGTAGTCCCTCTTTGCCTTCCTTACATTTTTCTTAACATTCCTAGATAGTTCATTATACCTATTTCTGAGCTGCTCCTCCCCTCCCTTTAATTTCTTATAAATTACTTTCTTTATTCCTATGTCATGTTTAAGTTTTCTGGTCATCCACCTTGGCTCATTCTTATTTGGCCTAATTTTTCTGTATGGTATATTTTGTTCTTGTGCTTTACATAGTATACGAGGGAATATATTATAGTCATGATCAATTGCTGTGTCACCTCTGACCTCACCCGTTCCTACTGGAGACTGACCTGACTGTTCCCAGGTGACCTCACCTAAGTACCTTCTAAACCCCTGATATTCCGCCATTCGAAAGTTTGTTTTTTGTTTCCCAATTTGGGGTGAAACTGATTTCTCTGTGATCACTGTTCCCTAGTTCTTCCTCTATTGTGATATCTCTGATAATATTTTCTTTATTTGTTAATACTAGATCTAATATATTGTTACCTCGAATAGGTTCTGTAATTAGTTGTTTCAAAAAATTGTCCTGCACTGCGTCTAGGAAGTCTTCAGATTCATAGTCACCTACATTGTTGTTCCAGTCAATATTTCTGAACTTGAAATTCCCCATAATGCACAAGTTGTTGTATTTTGCTGCCCTATTCATTTCCTGCAAAAAGGACTGAGCTGCTTCTTTCCCAAGACTTGGGGACCTGTAAATCATTCCCATAATTAGTTTTTCTATTCCTTCCGCAGTTTCTACCCATACAGACTCGGTTCCAATTTCACCCTTTATTGAATTATTAATACAGCATTTTAATGTATCCCTGACGAAGAGTGCGACCCCTCCACCCTTCCTACCTTCCCTGTACTTGTGAAAAAGGTTGTACCCTTCTATGTGGTACTCTGATAAAAAGTTCTTGCTCACCAGATTCATCCAAGTTTCGGTTATTACTATGACATCTACATTCTCGGTAAATACAACCGCTCTCAGCAAGTCTATTTTATTTCTAACGTTCCTTCTGTTTGTATAGTATACATTTAAACCTACCCTTCCATGGTCCTGTTTTACCTTTTGTCCTAAGTAACCAATTTTACTCCCCAGGACCTGCTTGTTTTTTGACTCCCACTTACCCCGACCCCTCTCTACTGGCGAAACCCCCTCTTTGGAGTGACAATTTCACGCTCCGGGGATGCAGACAACGTCTTTACTGCCGCGCGAGACAAGTGTACTCCGTCACGACTGTACAGGTAGTCGTTGCCGTAGAATGGTTGCCAGTTATCAATGAATAACCAACCATTGCTTGCACAATGTTTTTCCAGTCGGCAATTTATAGTAAATAACATCGTAATTTTCGTCATTATCTACTACCTCGAAGACTTTCCTAAAAAACGTCAGCAGATTTGTTAGACAAGATTTTCCCTTTGTAAATCCATGTTGAGTGTCGTAGATTAATTTGCTTTTCTCTAAATGTGATCGGATGCTATTTGCTATAATTGATTCAAGAAATTTCCCCATTACTGACGTTAAAATAATCGGTCGGTAATTTGACGCTGATGCTCTGTCTCCCTTTTTGAATATGGGTTCTACATTTGCCTGTTTCCACAAGCCTGGCACATCTCCCGTCTCTAATGATTTTGTTAAATTATTTATGAGGGATCCGCTAATTTGTTCCTTACACTCTTTCAAAACTCGTGGGAAAATTTCATCCGGCCCTTTATGCTCTGACAGGCGCCAAGTGGTTATCCACATTCTACATGAATTCTGGGTATCATCAGGTGAAGATGGCATCGGAAGACAAGGAAAAGCCAGCATTTCCATATAGACAATGACGATGGTAGTTCAAAGTTATGCTACTAGGCCTGTGCACTGTACCAGCTACCTTCGAACACCTCATAGAAAGGGTTCTGGAAAACTTGCACTGGAAGACTGCCCTCATATTTCTGGACGACGTAATTTTCTTTGGGAAAATTTTCGAGCAAGAACTGGAGAGGCTGTCGGAAGTGTTTTACCGGTTCTGGGCTGCACACTTTATTAAACCGATCCCAAAGAAATGTTACTTGTTCCAAAAGCAAGTTCAATATCTGAGACATATAGTAAGTGAAGTCGGAGTACGCACAGACCCAGAGAATGTGGCGGTGGTGAGAAACTGGCCAGTGATAAATTGTGTAAGGGAGCTGTGTAGTTTCTTTGGCCTTTGGTTTGTTAAGAACTTCACCACGGTCGCAGCACAGTTGCACAAGCTGACTAAGAATGGGCAGAAGTTGTGTGGATTACTGAGAGTCAAGGCTCTTTCGACCAGCTAAAGGATGGCTTGACCAGCTCCCCGGTGCTCCCATATCAGGACCCAACTCAACCATTCATCTTTGGCTGTGATGCTAGTGACTTTGGCATCGGTGGGGTGCTGTCCCAGAAGAAAGATAACATCGAGTTCATGATGGCATAGTACAGCAAGAAGTTCAGCCCTCCAGAAAGAAATTATTGTGTGACCAGAAAGGAACTCTTGGCTGTGGTAAAGAGCTTAAACTTTTTCCATCCCTACACGTATGGATCTAGCTTCACCATCAGATCTGACCACGCAGCATTGAGGTGGCTTAAGACCCCGAAGAATCCGGAAGGGAAACTGGCGCGGTGGATTGGTAAGCTGGATCAGCACAATTATATCATCCAGTTGTAGCCTGGGCAGATTCATGGGAATGCTGATAGTCTGAGCCGACAACCATGTGATTCCGATTGTCAGCAGTGTTGTAGGAGAGAGGCAGTTCCCAAGAAGTGTAGTCGCACTACAGTGGAGGGGGATCAAGCCGTTGCTGGGGAAGGCCTTGAGAAGCTGCAGCTGGAAGACTAAGACCTGCGACCAGTGGTCGAGTGGATGAACCAGAGCTCAGTGCGGCCAGCCTGGGAGACGATCTTTGGAGCAAGTTCTACAACTAAAAACTACTGTGCGCAGTGTGATGCTCTTCGGCTGAAGGATGGCTTGCTGCAGCGCCAGTGGGTGACTACCGATGGCCTCAACAGGTACTGGCAGAAAATACTTCCCCGGAAGATGAGGTCAGAGATCCTGGGGGAGATGCACAGCAATCCAACCAGTGGACATCTGGGAGTGAAGAAGACCCTGAGTCGCCTGCGCCAAAGGTTTTACTCGGATGACATGCATAAAGATGAGAAAGAATGGTGCCGTTCATGCGATGTCTGCTGCGCCAATAAGGGACCAAAGCTACACACGCGTGCCCCACTGCAGTTGTACCATGCAGTTGCACCAATGGAGAGGGTCGCAGTGGATATTGCAGGACCTCTGCCACTCACTGAAGATGGAAATAGGTACATCTGTGTGGCCATGGATTATTTCACTAAGTGGCCAGAAGCTTATGCCATCTCAAATTAGGAAGCCACGACTCTTTCCAGGGTGCTGGTGGACCACTTCTTATGCCGATTTGGTGTGCCCCACGAGTTGCACACGGATCAGGGCAGAAATTTTGAGTCAGCTGTGTTCAGCGAGTGCTATAAGCTGTTGGGCATAAGGAAGAGTAGGACCATTCCGATTCGGCCACAGTCACACGGAATGGTAGAAAAGATTACTTGGACCTTGGGACAAGAACTGGTCAAATACTGTCTTGAGGGGCAGACAGAATGGGACGAAAACCTGCCTGCTCCTCTGATGGCATATGGGTCGGCTGCCCACGAGTCAACTAGATACACACCGGGAAAAATGATGCTGGGTCACGAACTGCGGCTGCCAGTGGACCTGCTCACAGGAAGACCACCTGATGAAGAACGTACTGAAGAAACCACCAGTTATGTCAAAAGCCTCCAAGAAAGGTTGACGAAGGTCCACCATAAAGTTCGAGGAGCTCTGGAGTTCTCGGGTGAAGTGATGAAGCGCAACTATGATGTTAAAGCAAGCTTGGTCTGTTACAAGGACGGTAATAAGGTCTGGCTGTATAACCCTCTACGGAAGAAGGGTCAGTCACCGAAGTACCAGAGTCCATGGGAAGGACCATACACTAGTGGAGCGCCTTTCAGATGTGACCTACTGGATCAGGGGAAAAAAGAAGGCTCACCCGAAGGTAGTCCACGTCAATCGTCTGTGGCAGTATCATGGGCCAGGGCAGTACACCTGGGAAGACTCTGAGGAGCTGTCACCTACCACAGACGAGGACCAAACCAGAGACCCGTGGAAGAACTCAGGGCCGCACCGATCCGGGGAACCCGACCATGGTCCAGGAAGAGGAGCACTGTTCTCTCTTAGCGGAATTCGACGTGACAGGAGAGGGGGACCAATCTGAGGATGTGACTAAGGTTACTACACCAAGGGAGGACTCTGAAGACATCCCATTACGTCGGCGGCATCAGCGGATGAAGAGGAGACCTATCAAGTCGCAGGATTATTATGTATATAGTGAATAAGTGTGTCGGGACGACATAAAGATTAGGGAGGGGGTAATGTTATACCGAGGCATAATTTGGTGTTATTATGTTGGAAATTAGGTGTTATGGTTGTTTTCTGTCCCAAGCAGCAGTTATTTTTGCAAATTTATGGATATTTTCTTATATACGAGTATATATATATATATATATATATATATATATATATATATATATATATATATATATATATATATATATATATATATATATATATATATATATATATATATATATATATATATATATATATATATATATATATATATATATATATATATATATATATATATATATATATATTGATGTATTACTTACGTAAGAATTTTCTGGAATGTATGGCATAATTTTTTTATGATTTACTTCTTATTGTAAGCCTAGTTCATTCTAGAATTCTCCTGAGTGTAAAGGACAACAAGCCTAGATAAATGTTGTGCAAATATTGTGGAATTGTTGTGATCAATATAAAGGGCGTTTCTTCACTTTGAGCATTTTAGCCCGAACGAACCAAACAAGCAGGACGCGCCGAGCAGAATTCGGCTAAAAAGGACGTGTCTCCGAGCCGAACCGAAACGAGCCTACCAAACCTTTTCCGTCGCTTGTCGTTAGAGGGTACCGTTGGTGCGTGCTCAAAAGGATTCAGTTGCTCCTAGGTGCGCAGTCAGGACGGGTGTTCGCGCTGTTCCAGCTATTAGGTGTGTTATGGAGTGGGACAGGGAGAAATGTTTAACCTTACTGGATGAATATGAGACGCATCCTGAGCTGTGGAATCCCCAATATGGCTTGTACTACAATAAAGTTAGGAAGCATGATTGCTGGGTGAGAATTGCACAAATTATGGAATGTTCCCGGGAGAAGGGAAGAGAAAATGGGAAGGTTGATTGCCAGCTTCAGGAGGGAAAAGGGTGTCATTCAAGTAAAGCTTTTCAAATGGCCATGATCTATTTCACTCAACAAGGACATATTTTTCCGTCCAGAAAATAGTCGCCTTAACCACACTCTCCTAGATTTCTTCTTCCTTTTGGCTAAGGAGTAAATAATGAAGAATGCACCTGCTGCCACTATGAGAGCCATGGTTCAACTGGGGAAAACGATGAGAATAAGACGAGCACCGTCGGATACGCAGAATACAGAGGGCTTGCACTCGAATTGCTCGTTCAGTTCAATCGTACGTTGTCTGCTGGTTTGGTTCGTTCGGGCTAAAATGATCCAGTGAAGACGCACCTTAAAGATTAAGGAATTGTACACTGGTGGTGTGCTGACTATATATTCGAAGTGGGAAATCCAGTTGTGAAGCCATTATCCTATGAACAGTGTTGAGAAGAATTAGTAACTATTAATGAGGCTACAGTGCACAAGTGTGTTTCTGTGACCTGGTGTAAATCTACCTGCCTGTTGTTTGTTTGGACGCTGATACCGATAGTCGGGAAATTACCGGACAATGGCGGGACAGCCAGTGGTAATTCGACGACACTTGCGATTTCTACTGCTTCTATACATACAACCTTAGCCGCTGGTAACCAGTGGTGGAAGCTGGGTAAACGGTGAAATGAGGGTCGTAACAGTATTAATATAGCACATATGGGGTCATTAATCAGTGCATAAGAATCGCCTTTTCGTTATGTTGCCAAGTATTAATCGAAACTTGAGACAAAGTTCAGTGTTGGTGACCCTGTTCTACAAAATACAACACAACGCTGGTTTTGAAGCATATCAACATGGAAACCTCACAGGAAACACAAGAGGCTGTTGTCGCCCTTCACAAGGAAGGATACAATATTTCTGAGATTGTCCGGCGGGCACTATGGATTAGGCGACGCCTGGAGACTGGCGCAATTGACGACCGGCATCGAATCGGCCCCCCACGCTGCACTTTCCCGGAGGACGACCAGGTCGAGTATTTTTGGCATGAAATATTGTGTAGGTATGTGGGTTTCCCACATTTTCACTCTGTATTTCTCGTAACCAGGCCTATAATTATTACAGTTTATTTCACTTAACCAAGCCATAACACCTGCTATTGATGCTGACCCATCCACTACCAGCATCCGCCATGACTTTGGCGTGCAATGCAGCACTCAAACAGACCACAACAAACTTCACTCCGAAGGGCGCCACGGTCGTAGACCTGCCTGCAAACAATTGTTGACTGAACGTCACATGGAGGTCAGGATGATATACACACCTGAGTGCACTGACAAGGCATACAGGATTTGGGACCGAGTAGCCTTCTGTGATGAAAAGACATTTTGCACAGATGATCACACATCTACACAATATGTTTGGCGGATGGTCAACAGCAGGTAAGCCTCTCTGTCAGTCTGTGTGTGTATATGCAGCATCCTCGCCTCGCAAGCGAGCGGACCCGAGTTCGATCCTCGGGTAGAGTAAAACTATGGGCAAGTTTCTGTACGCCATTTGCCTCTGTCTACCTAGCAGTAATTGGGAACCTGAATGTTAATCGACTTGCGGATCGTATTCCGGGGTAATGGTTAGCCAGTGCAGTTGGAGAGCTGTCCAGTCTTCTCAGACTATTCCGTGACATTGGGTCATGCAGCTCGTTAACTTAGGGTGTGGTTGTTGTGTTTGCGACAGCTTCTACAACTTAAAAATTCACGCCTAGGAGGCCCTTGGACCGGCCATCCTCGATCTCGAGGGGCTTCCATTATTATTATTATTATTATTATTATGTGTGTCTGTCCCGTTGGCCATCGGTATTTAATAAGTGTATTACTTAATTATACTATAGCTTACGATATTATGCTATATAATTTTATATCCAACTATATTTTGTCATTACACTATCAGATTCTAGGCACGGATTTTGGTGGAACGCAGGAGTGGAAGAGTCAGTGTCAGTGTAGCAGTTAAAAGTGAAGTGTTAGGTAAAAATGAAGTGCCAGACGTACGACTCATTCGGACAGCGACAGACAGCGGTCGGTTGGTGTTGCTCCGCAGTCAGTCTCAGCTGAAGTCAGTTCTGCTTAGATGATGGACATGCATTCCTATGACACGCACGTGTTCATACATTGGTATTGCTTAAATCATATTATTTTAATACAGTTTAGCGAGTGTTACCCTAAGGTCAGGATGTTTTGTGGATGATATTATATTAATATTACTTTAGGATGTAGCTCGCCCCAATGTTATAAACATTTAGATCTCTCTATTCTGAGCCTTTTGAACCCCCCATATTTAACAGGCGGAAATGGATAATAGCGACACAATTGAATTTAATTGATTTAACGTAGTATTAAGTCTTTGTCGGAGATGTGCATTGAGGTGCCTCCTGTATGTGACCCATGTCTCGCTGCCATATAGCAGGATAGAGAGGACCACTGCTCGATATACTTGTAACTTTGCAGATAATTTCAGCTACCTGCAGCTGAAGACACGGTATTAGAGTCTGCCGAAAGGTTGAGATGCACATCTGATTTAATGCTGAATTTCTTCATCGATGTCCATAGTGGTGGACAGGTGGGAGCCGAGATACCAAAAGAGGGTAGTACCGTTAAGATGGATGTATGGTGGAGGTGTGCCTGAACAGGGCCAGGTTGAGAGATAATCTAACTCTTGCATACATTCACCTCAAGGCTGAAGTGTGCATATGCATCTGCATAGGTGTTCAGGGTCTCCTGTAGGTCGCGTTCTGTGTGAGCAACAAAGGTGAGATCGTCTGCATACTGAAATTCATTAATGGAAGTTGCCGACCCCTTGGTTCTTGCTTGGAGTCATCTTATTTTGAAAAGACCCTTCATCCGGTACTCGGTGTCCACCCCGTCAGCTAAATTGGCACTGGCACGAGTAAGGAAGGCAGCCAAGAAATTGAAAAGAGAATTGGTGCCAGTACACAACCTTGTTTAACCCACGTTTGGATGGGGAAGAACTCAGACTTGGCGCCATTGTGCAGGACACTGCCATTCATGCCATCGTGGAGTTGCCTCACAATGGCTATGGATTTGTGGGGGCAGGCAAAACGGCTGAGGGTCCACCAGAGGACTTCCCTGTAGACCGAGTCAAAGGTCTTGGATAGGTTGATGAAGGCCATGAACAGGTCACGACGCTGTCCTCTGGGAGGAAGTTTTCCGCCTCAAGAAGACGTTTGTTCAGGAGGACTCGGGCAACAATCTTGCCAGCAACGGACAGCACCGAGATCCCGTGGTAGTTGCCACAGTCTGACTGGTCTCCTTGTTCTTACAAAAATTGACGATGGAGACATCCTTAACAGCCTGGGGTTTTTCTCATTTTCCAATATATTCTCCAGGAGAGAGTGAAGACGGCTGGTAAGCAGACGTCCTCCTGCTTTATACACATCGGATAGGATTCCATCAGGCCCTGAGGCTTTATTATTTTTTATCTGTTTGATGGCAGTAGCTACCTCATCCAGGGATGGAGGATAGTTGAAGAGGGTCAGCTGTAGATGCTGAGGGACCTGCTGGGTAGTCAGGACATCCACATCAGTGTTTCGGTTGAGCAGGGAATTGTAGTGTTCTTTACAGTACTGAAGAAAGCCTTCATCATCTTCAATTATGGAGTTACCGTCGGAAAAGCGCATCTTGTGATAATCTCCAATTTTTTTGTGTTTCACATGCCTTATTTTTAAACAAGTCGTTCTTTAGATTGCAAAGTTCCCGCTGGGCTGCAGCTTTCTTCTTGCGGAAGGTATCAGCTTTCGTCCGAGACTGAGGGTTGTTCTGTCAATCAGTT